TGTTGAAAGGTGTGGAAAGGTGTTGGCTCTGATACCAAGAAGAAAAATAAAAAGTAGAAAAAGGAGAGAATTGTATAAAGGCTTCAATGAGATAAATCACTCATTCACAGAATATTCTATGGCATAATCTATAGCATAATCAAATCTCTACTAATACGGTAAGTCATTCGATAAATCGTGGCTATCATATTTGCCAACATATATCATTCAGTATGTTCTTGCAATTTCTAGTTTCCCATAAAAAAGGGCTAGCTATATGCACGAGACTCCAGCCATTGTGGGTCTGGGGATGGTCATCTTGTGCCTTGGAGATAAGTCAGTGATATGGAGAAATACAAGGCACAAAGAAATGGATAGGTCTAATGTAAAGCGGATTTAAGACCCTAATCCACATGGCTCGAGAGACCATGTGGCTGAAGTCTTTCAAGCAAGAGACAGGATTTACAGATCACGCTCATAAAAAAATGTTTGGTCATAACCAAGCCAAGCATTGTAGTATTGTATGCCAGATCTAAGCATACATAAGAGTTATAATTTAACCACAGTCATGTTTGTGATCTGAAGAACAATTAGCATTAATGCAAAATCAGCTGATTAAATTAAGGACATTATCCCAAAAACCCAGGAATGGGTTTGTTCTTTAACATATCCAGATTATTTCTGGGAGGACATTTGCTAGATGAAGTTTATTTCCTATTGTCTTCCCCAGACTATTCTGTCTTTGTAGGATTTAGAATCCACTGGTTATTCCTCAAGTTCCTTCTCCATTTGCCAATCATGGAATGTCAACTCCTCTAGCAGCCAAAATCCACTGGCCAATCATGGTTTGGTGCCTCAACCCATCTAGCATGTTTTCTTGTAAATATTTTTACAAACATCTCCTTGCTCCACCCCAAGAAACTAAGACAATATGGGACACGAAATTACCTCGAGCAGTTAAAAGTGTTTTTTTTTTTTTCAAAGTAAGATTTCATTTAAAAGCACTCAAAAAGGGGAGCAACCCCAAAACAGCTGCACAAGCCAAGAACTCGTATCCTCAAGCTATCCAAAAAAGACAAAAGAATCTCCTAGATCCACAATTCCTCCCATGAACACAAAGAATAAAGGAACTACACAAAAAAACAAAAATAATAATAATAAAAAAACTGACCACCGCTATAGAAGACTCCAACCCCCATCAAAAGATCTATTTTCTCCCTCCACAAAGCCCACCACAAGCAAAAGGAGGCAGCCCTCCACGCATCCCTAGCTTGGGACCTTACTGAACATTCTCTCCAAATTTAGATTAAGCACTTCATGGACTCCGACATGACCCACTGAACCCCAAAAAATAGCACAAAAAATGGCCCATCTGTCCCTAGCCATGGGGCAATGAAAAGGAGATGATTCACCAACTCTTCATCCCTCTTACATATCAAACACCAATTGACAATGATCCGGCGCCACCTCCTCAAGTTGTGAATAGTCAACCAACCAACCAAAAAGGCAATCTATATAGGGGCTTTAGAACAACAGATTGCTTTCCATGGACAGGAAGGCGCCTGAATTACCAACAAATTTTTGTAGAAGGATCACACCTTGGATCTTCCATGACTAGAACCCGCCCAATACCACTCATCCAGGCCCTCCCCAAACACTCTCAAACGATATAGCAGTGCCAGAAACTCCACCAAATCCTCCACCTCTCAATCCTGCAGAAACCTCTCGAACTGAATGTTTCAAGTCAATCCTCATCTATCAAGATGGATAGAAGTAAGCAACCAGCGCCTGTCTATTTACCGCAATATGAAATAGCCTTGGGAAAGTCCCCTCTAATGGCCTTTCGCCTCACCACAAGTCCACCAAGAAGTTAATAAGACTCCAAATCTTCACTCTAAAGCAAATGTGCTTAGAGAATTCATCCCAGCCTTTCTGGAAGAACTTCCATATGCCTACCCCAGCTGGGGATCTCACCTCTAAAGAGCACTAGCCACCTCCAGGTTCCCGAAACTTGTAACTTATGATCCTCCTCAATAAATTATGCCTCCACAACCACTTGTCCAACAAAGCTTTGTTGAACAAGTCCAGTCTCCTGACACCCAACCCTCCTGTCTGAAGAGTTCAGCGGATCTGCTCCCTACCCACAAGATAGTCCTAAACTCATCCCCCGTACCACCCCCAACAGAAAATCCTTTGTAGCTTTCAAATCCTCTTCACTAAGGACAGAATTGGGAATAAAGATATAAAATAGGTAGGAAGACTAGAAAGGGTTCTCCTCAGTTGCCCTCCTTTCAACAGATATTGTTTCTTCTAACCTGCAAGCCTCCTCCAAACCACTCTGCCACTGGATCCTATGAAGATACTCTCTCTTCTTCTTTTTTATAAGTAATCCCACAAAGATACTCCTCAAAGGAAAACCCAACAGCAAACCCAAATAAACCACTGGAAAAACCCCAACACCACAAGCCAATATGTTGGCCAAGGAAGCAATCTCACCAACCTCATCCACCAGCACAATCTCAATCTTCCTAAGATTAAATTTTTACCCTAAAACAGCATGGAAACACACCTCAAATATCTCACTTAGGCCTCATCCACATCACATATACAATAGTATCGTCAGTAAACAACAGATGAGAAATTTCCAACTGATTAGAGTGATGCCTGACACCCTGGAGCCTCTAATAAAACCCAACACAACTCCTCAACCCTTCTCATCAATCTACAAAAAGTCTCCATCACAATAATGAAAAGGAATGGAGAGCGTGTGCCCCATCTTAACCCACTTGAGCTATCAATAAAGCTTGTCGGAACCCCATTCACCAATATTGAAAATCTCACTGTGGAGACGCAGAATCAAATCCATCCCCTCCACCTCTCACTAAAACCCAACCTCTCCAATTTATACATCAAGAAATTCAAACTCGCGTGGTCGTACATCTTCTCCACATCAAGCTTACACATCACCCCGACACGTCACTGCTGATTCTGGAATCCACACTTGCTGGCAATCAGAACTGAATCCAAAATCTAATGACCATGCAAAAAAGAAAAAGGTAAATGGAATTTCACATGGAGCATATCAATGACTTCATAATCAAGTATTTGTTTGATTTTATTCCAATCATACACTTTCTACAGCTAAATTTGGTGGTACTTGTTAGCCACACACTCACTAGCAACTAGGCTACAAATGAACTGAGTTGTTCATGAACAGCTCGGGCTTGTTCGTTGAGCAAACGAGCCGGCTCGAGCTCATTTTCTAGGCTCATAGTAAAAGATCCAATCCCAATTAGTGTTAGGCTCAGCTAGTGAACATGAGCTCATGTAGGCTCATTTATGTTCATGAACATAAGCTCGTATAGGGTTCATATATGTTCATGAACCGTAGGCTCGTTATAGGGCTCATTTATATTTGTTTCTATTTTTATTGGAATTCTTTAATCTTTGAAAGTGTAAGATAAAAATGCAATGGTTTACTAAACGGGCGTGGTGAGCTTGAAAACAAGCTTGGACCAATTTTGAATATGAGTTAACTTTGTTTTCTTAAATGAGCCCGAACTTTCTAAAACCATAACGAGCTCGAGCTCAGTTTTTTGAGCTCGTCATGGTCCCGAGCCAAGACCAGGCTGAGCATCTAACAAACCAAGCCTGAGCCTGAGTAGCCTAAAGCTCGGCTCGGCTCGGCTCGGCTCGTTTGCAGCCTTACTGGCAACCAGAACTGAATCCAAAATCTAATGACCATGCCAAAAACAAAAAAGTTAAATGGAATTTCACATGGAGCATGCGAATGACTTCAAAATCAAGTATTTGTTTGATTTTATTCTAATCATATGCTTTCTACAGCTACAGTTGTTGTTACTTGTTAGTATAGTTGAATTTATTTTTCCTTTCTTTATATGTTTTCATAGAGATAGGAAAGGGGAGCTAGGTAGATTGGCCATCTCAAAAGAGTAAATCAAAGACAAAAATCAAGTACCCTTTGTCTACTGAAAGAGGGTGGCACCAACTACGGTGACAATGAACTGACATCTATGCCAAATTTAGTAGTGCAAGACCAAGATCGCTCCGAGACTGATGTATTTCAAAAACTGCACATTGTAATAAAGTGACAAAGAAATGACAAAAGAAGCCTACAAAGAACCAGATTTAGAGGAGAGAAGGAAAACATAGAAATGCAGAAACCTCATAAATGTAAATCCACGGAGATATGGCACTTATTAGGGGTGTGTTTGTGCTCTATTCATAAAATTTGTGCAATGGAATGCCCAAAACAAACTTAGATGGGTGAATAGGTTTTATTTTTGCTCAAATTAAACTTGTTTGCTAGTATTACTTACAAATATGAAATATAAACCATCCAACCAAACAATTGTAAAAAAATTACATAAACAAATACTAAGAGATAAAGAATTTTTTTACATGGAGAACTCAAATAGAAAAAACCACGGGACTCAGTCCATACCTAATCTATTTGTTATAAGGAAAGTACAATGTTATCTATTTGTAGAATGACTTTCTAAATATTATTAAATAATCAATAAATGTTTCCTAACTAGAATACCTATTAATAGGCTCTGCAAAATCTGAAACACAAGTAATAACTTTCTTATAATCATCCTACCCAATGTATATGGACTTGAATATCACTTTTAAAATCATAAAACTACTACAAATAAGGCTAAAACCCTAAATTTAACCCGAAAAAAATATTCAAAAAAAGGAAATGACAAATCATTGCACATTCCTAAAATCAACACAGAAGAAATTCGCAACAATCTCTCTAGCCATTACATGAACCAATTAGACACTGAGAATAGCATCCGTGCAATGGTGAACAAGTCCCCAACTTCAAAAACTAACGAGATATCAACAAAGATAATAAAGTAGAACCTAAACCAAATTATCAAATAAAAAAAAATAGAGAGAGAGAGAGAGAGAGAGAGAGAGAGAGCAATTACTCTCCCAACAAACATACAAATTCCATAGAGGAAACCTAATTCGGTAACTTTAAAGCCTACCTTTCGGTGTGGCCACCTAACAAGACCATTGTCATGGCATATTTTCTTTAGAACATTTGTACAAACACCTGCCATTTGAAAATCACATAAAATCAGCAGGCTACTTCAAAGGAAAATAAGTAGCAGGAAACTAGACTAAAAAAAATAAAAACAGAACGTGACCTCCATTGTGAGCTGGAGGTCACAGGTTCGAAAACAAAAACAGTATCTTCATGCAGACAGGGGCGGAGGGAGGGGGGCAGCCTCTTTATAGCTAGTAATGGTGATTTTGTGTAGAAAAATTAAAGTTAGCCCTCCAATGTTTCTCAAAATTCTATTAATGCTAGATTAGATATTTATGGATATTAATGGTGATTTTGTGTAAAAAAATTAAAGTTGACCCTCCAAAATTTTAAAAAGTTGTTTTTTTATTATCTATATATGGTTATTAAAGGTAGTTTGAATGAACTTTTTTTAGTTTTGCATTTAAAAATTTAAATATAGTAAAAAACTTGTTAGTTATTACTGTAATTCTTGCTAGCTACAACATACATAGTATATATTAGAAATCTATTCATATATGAGTCCTGATCTCTTGCTCAATGGGGAGCAAGAGCATTCATCCACACTTTCTATAGTGAACGTTAGATTCTAACGGTCACATTCCAAACCTATCTATATCTTTTCCTGTTAACACAAACCAATCTCTCCCTATTTTTAGTTTCCAAATTTAATATTATGAATACCACCAATTGTAACAATAAAAGGTAAGTACCAAAATTAAATAAATAGAAACCTCTCGGCTCATTTCACCTTTCGTTCTCACGTCTCTCTCAAACAAAGAACTACAAGATTACAAGTATGACCTTCAAATGTTGTAGGGTTGTACCTTTTTGCATAATTAATTCTTCAAACACAGTTTTTCACTTGTTCAACAATTTCATGTAGTTTTGATGATTACTAGACAATGCTATATAGTTGACTTCCTAAACCATGTTAATTAAACTACAATAATTGGAGGAGTATGCCAAATTCACTTGTTCAATGACAGTGATTTAGTCCGCTTGGAAGTTGAGAAGAACTTTTTCTTGGTGAGCCATTTCTTCTAGGTGTTCTCATGGCAAGTGATTTAAGAGTTTCTTGCAGCAATGTTTATTCCAAAATACTAGGACTAGATCAGAGACAAGAATGTAATCATCAATTCTCTTGTAGTTCTTTCTTTGAAGGGATCTTTGTTAATTTTATATTCTGTGTTAGGAGACCCAGTGATGATTGACTCTTTGTAGTTTGTTATATTTGGAAATTTAAAACACATAATAGTGGGTTTGCACTCTGACCATTAGCTTATATCTAACGGCCATTATATAAAGTGTGTAGAAATTCTCTTGCTCAACGGTGAGCATGAGATCATTTTCTTATATGTGTGTGTGTGTGTGTGTGTGCGCGCACGCGCACGTGTGTGTATATTATTTGTTGTGAATTAAAATGAGGATTGCTCGACTCTTTGACAACCTCATTTATTGGCTCTCAACTATTCTTTTCTTCATTTTTTTTTTCTACATCATTTATAGATAGGCTTTTGAAAAATTACATTGAAAATGCATTGAAAATTTTATTTTATTTTATTTTTACAATATAATTTTATATTACTAATTTGCCCCCCACCCCCAAATGAATTTTTCTGGCTCCACCCTTGCATGCGAAGGTAAGGTTGCGTACATCTAACCCTCCCCAGACCCCGCAATGGCAGGAGCCTGGTGCATTGGGTTAGCCCCTTTTCTTCTACATCAAAACCACATTAATTGACCTAAAACATAAGTAGATTCTAGGGATTATGAACAATTATTTTTAATAAGTAGTTATTATGAACAATTATGCCAATTGTAACATTAGATTTATAAAGATCATGTTCCTTACATAGAAAAACTATCCTCCGACTCCGATCATTCATATCAACAACAGTAAATCCACATTCTGGTGTTCTAGTTTCTCGTACTTCGTGTTTGATACTGGATAAATCATATCTTGGTTTTCTTTTTCCTTGTGATGGACTATACTTATGTTCCATTACATGAAAATAAAAAAAAAAAGAATCATTTTTTTTTTTTTTCCATCAATCTATTCCAACCCATATTTTTAATTTTATAACCCATTAAAATTGTGGAAAATCAAACTGAGACGTTAAAATACTGTCAGCAAATCAATAAACCAGCAAGTACCATGGGATTCACACTATTAAAGGTATCAAGAAAGAAAAAAATATTTTTATATAACAAGTACCTAGTGACTTGGATACATTAGGGCTGTTCATATAAGTTAGAACAAGCATAGTCTCAGACTCTCAGGAAACAAGTAATGGACATATTTCAGAAAGCCGTGAACAATTACCAACTTAAACCTAAATGACAGCTATAAGGTTAATTTTAATTCACATTTCAAAGAATTTTGTAGCTTTTGAGGAAAACACTTTATGATTCCAAAACAAGAAAAGCATAACGATATACAAGGATACAGAGCAGTAAATTATAGGTTAGAAAAGAACTAACCTGAAATATATATAGAGAGGGGGAGAGATTTATTGAGGATTACCGAGATTTTCAGCGGCTTCAAAAAGTGGCAAATAGAATAACTTGGAGACATCATCAAATGAGAAAGATTTTTTGTCCGAAACTGAGTTTGGATTCTGAAGCTGCGTACTACTCATCGTGCTCGCCAATCTTCCCACAATTTTCCGATTATCGGTCAAAGTGTAAAATTACACCTCCCCCATAACATTTGTCGATTCTAAAGAGACGCCACTTTCGTTATGAAGATATCAGAGACCCCTTCTCCAGGTGTCCGTCCTCGCACAATCGTTAAATCTGTTTAAAAGACTTTATAACCTAATTAATCCTTATAAAATTACATTTTTACCATTTGCATCAAATTCGTGAGAGAACAGCAATATTGCCCTCAATATATTGGACATTTCTTCGTCGGACTCCGTATTTGAGCTATTTTTATCCAAATTCACCCAAATGGGAAATTACTTTTAGAAATAATTTAATAAATGACAAGTTATTAAAGAGTAGTGATACTTACTGAATTGTCTAATGAATTCGATTATTCAGTGCAAGAATTATTTTTCATATTTAAATAGTATGTAAGTGAAAGAGTTAATAAATAAAATTAACTACCAATACGATAAATATACTCTTTTGGTCCAAAATGCCCTTCTCTGTCATCCTCGTCTATATTTCAACTTTCTCTTTCTATTCACTTTCTCTCTGCATAACTACCATCTCTTCTTCACAACTCCGACACCAACCACCCACCACCATCGCTGCCATCCACTACCCACCACCACCAAGTTTTTTTTGTTTTTTTCTGACAAACAAAAACACTACTAACCAATAATATTACATAAAAGCATCAATGGCTATCCCAAGGATGTGACCACGAGAATATTCAACAAACAGATCAAGTAGAATGTCAATAACTGAAAGCATGACAATAGCATAGCAACAATATTTCCTTAACAACGGATAAACAAAAACAAAACATCATGTAGCCATTCTGTGGACACGAACATATATGCCTTCATGAGCTCCGAAAGATTCCCCTCCCCTAATAGCCAGCTCTTTCTTATGAAACCCTGCATCCACATTACATTGCACCAATTCCACCCAAGGGATTTTCCATAATAGAGACTGATCAAACATGATCCTCCAACAGAATACTCACAATGAACTGGAGGAGATAGAAATTCCCAATGGCATATATATGCGACCGAATCCACCATTAGAGGAGCCCATAAGGTAATCTCAAACACAAGATTTGAAGAAACCATCAGAAGATTGGGCTTAGTATTTTAACTAACTTAGCATGTAGTTTAGTCTTTCCAACTTGGGCCAAGAATTTAATTGAGCCCACGTGGTGCATTGGAATATAAAACATTAGTGGGCTAAGAAATTAACTTATTAGGCCAATTTCAAATGGCCCAACAAATTCACACTAGAAGCTTTCCCCCGTATCAGATCCAACCACGGAGCTTCCTCAATACGCAAATGCAAACAAGACAGCTGATTTAACGGCGTGACATTACAGCATCCTAAGGCATCATCGTGGACGGTAAAGTATTGCCGGTAATTTTGGGGATAAAGAATGCGAATTTGACAGTGAACTTTCAAGATATGATTTTTCTTCATGAACAAAATCCACTTTCGAGAGTGAACAGCTCCAAAACGATTCCCAAAGAGATGGCTAATCTCTTGCCCTAGCAAATTTGGAGCAACAATCCATGTCCCATACTTTTTCTGCATCGGAAAGGAAAGAGATTGCACCGGTGAACCGACTAGTGGAATTGCAATCATTAACATAAACCTAGCTCCGATCACATTGAATAATTGAAAACTCCCACACCAAATTATTACCACTCTGACCAAAGAATTTGGCATCATCTAGCTACAGGCCATAAGCACAACCAACAGGAAGAAACGCCTCACTCATAACCGTTTAACCCATCGAGAAGACAAGAGCCATGGCTAAAGAAATAAAAAAGTAAGGAAAACAGAGAAAAATTAGAGACAAAAATGAAAACAAAGAGAGCAAGAAGAGAAAGACATACAAAGGAAACATTACCAACACCGTGATCAAAAAGAAAGAGCATCCAACACTGTCCAAGGCGCAAAAACCTGGTGTTACCACCATCGGCTCACCGGTTTGGGAAAACAAACCCATATGACGTTATCTGGTGGTTGCCGTCGCGTTGCACAAAAGTTGGCAAAGAGATGAACTAAGAGTGTGAGTGTGTAATGTGACCAAGTTTTAAATTTATAAATGTCACTACTACCTCTAACTAAAAATATAGCTAGGGTGAGTAGGGATCGTCCCAAGGGATTAGTGGGTCGTGTTACTATGGAAACAAGATTAGGGTTAGTAGGTCGAGTGATCAAAATGTGGTTGGTTTGGTTAATTAAACTACAATTAAGACTAAACAAGCTCAATGTAAAACAAGTAATAAAAGGATAGAGAAAATAAGAAAGAGAGGTCTCGGGACTTAGAGGTCACCACTAAGCATCACCTTTCTATACACTCAATTCATAATTAATGAAGGGAAAAACATATGTTGCAACAATAGTGAGTGTGTGTGGTTGTTTCAACAAGCATAGATGACCAATTAAGTATATATTGTCTAAACAACACAATGAATAGCACAATATATCAAATTAAGCCATTAATCCTTCCTTTAAGCTCACAATCCAAACACATCACATGATTAGAGAAATATACTACTTGCATTCATAAGTATGGAACATCAAATAACAAGCATGGATTATCCTCCCATTTAACAACTAAGGTAACTATACTACATCTAAGCTAATGACATGAAAATTAAACTAATTAAACTAAGGGAGAGGCACAATCCATCAAGAAATGAGTATGAACCATCAAATAAACCACAAGAGCATTCTATTAAGCACTATATCTTGGCAATCTCTAGATCCGTAGTATCAACACACATAGACATGCATCAACAACACAAAAGCTAGAGATAAATACATGAACATCTATTCTAGCATACATAGACATATGGATAGAATGAAATGATCAATTGGAAGAATTAAACCACACAAATCATTAAATAAAAAAAAAATCTATGTATATAAAAATGTCAAAACATGTATTATAACACAAATCCCCTCAAAAATACATAAATCAAGGTAAAGAAGGCATGCTTAGGGCTAACTCTAGCCCTAAAGAGGATGTCTAGCCACTCATGGATAGTGTCCTCCAACCCTCAAGGGCTATCTCCATGGTAGAAATGTTCTTCTTCTTGAGGTAGATGGAAGACTTCCCAAGAATGTGTCTCTAGCCTCCTCTTCTCTTTTCTTCCTCTCTAAGAATGATATCAAATGTTGTATCTAAAAAACATGTGTAAAAATGGCTCATAATCCTTATATAGGTAACTTAAATGTCACACCCAATGGTCTAGGCTCGTACACAAGGGCTCCTCCAATGATTGCACCATGAGACAACTTTTAATGAGCTGGAAATTGATTTAATTCACACTTGAGAAGGTTCGATCGATCGAACCTATGCTGAGATCGATCAAACTTGGCTGAGATCTATCAAACTTTGGCTGGATCGATCCTCCCATGGCGGCGCCTTTTTGGATAAAGACAAATCTGAGATTTTTTGAGATATTTTAGGAAAGAGACAAAAGTGGTAGGTGGGGTGGTACAACAAGATAAGATGGAATCTTTTCGATCGATCTGATAAATGTTGGATCGATCGAACATTGTGGGATTTTTGGATAAGTACAAAAGAGCTTGGATCCATCTTGGAGTGCAGAGATCGATCTATATCAGATCGATTGAAGAAATTCTATGATCGATTGAACTTTGCTGAACTTCCACCACTTGCTTCATTTTGCTTCCACTTTGCTCCTTTCTTTCATTCATCTCAAGATTGCTTCAATTATGCTTTTATTTGGCTGAATTAACATATTTTGGGGATAAGTGCCTGAAAACGGAAATAACATGAAATCAATCTAAAGCGGGAAAATAAGATAGATAAAAGTCCTTGAATACTTAAGCTTAACGAGTTTAAATGCGCATTTTTCAGCACTCATCACACCCCCAAAATGTTAGTCACTAATTGACTCTAGAGGGGGGTGAATAGAGTCAAGGGCCAATTTTTGCAATTTAAAAATATTAAATCTAACAAACTATTAAGCACAGAGAAACTAAAATATTCAAGCAGTGTATGGCACAAGTATAAAAGAGATGGAGATGAGAGATTGCAAATTATGACTCGGCGATTTAGCGAGGTTCGGAAACTCCTACTCCTCGGTTCAAGGTCCCCCTTGAGACTTCCCAAAATCACTAGAGCATCTCCTTAATAGTGGAGAGCAAACCTTCAATTGAAGCAAGACCTTGCTTCTCTTCCTTGCTAAGAGAACACCCTTCTCCTAAACTTTCTTTTGGGTCACACCAACCCTTTTACAATAACTTGGAATAGAAATGAATTGTACAATAAATCTCTCACAGATAAAAGTACACAGTTCTGCTCACGACTATAGTAAAGATAAATATATATTTGAAGCCCAGAATTACTACAGTAGAATGAAATGTAAGAGAGGAAATGAAAGCAGAGGGAATGAAAGCTCAACGAATGCTTCTTTAATGTTTTTCAGGAATGGTAAAATGTTCTCTGTAATAGTATATTTTTTTATGCAGACCAACCTCTGTATTTATATATAAACAATGGTCAATATAGCTGTTGCAGGTGGTCGGAAAACAATAAATGAAAAAGTTTCCATTGTAATCAAAACCCTAGAAGGAGCCGGCTCTTGTAAACAAGAGGAGGCGGTTCCCTAGCCTTGAGAGCCAGCTCTCCTTTTTTGGGAGCCTGCTTTTTGGATGGAAACTTCATTTTTCGTTGAAAAATAGCTTTTAGAGCCGTCTCTATTTGAAAAGGAGCCTGCTCTAATTTTCTAAGCCTTCTCTAGATTTTTAAAGCCTTTTCTACTTTCGTAGAGCCTTCTCTACTTTCCCCTGAGCCTTCACTAATTTTGTAGAGCCTTCTCTACTTTCAGTAGGAGACTTAAAATGAATTCCAGTATGATGTAAGGCTCATATGAATGTGTTCAAAAACCTAATGAGCTAATTTTATGTTCTTTGAAAGATGAAATGAGAATGATATGCATGAATTGTAATTCTGAGCTTTAAAATATATTCAACTAAACTTTGACATTGAGCCTTAAGCTCTCACCATCCTATCTACCCTTTTCTTCATTTTTTGACCATGATTGTCTAGGCTTGATGAAGATTTGCTAAAAAGCTTGAATGATCTTTGAAGTCCGAGTTCTTCTTTAATTTCT